CAAACCTCTTTTATCATCGCAGGAATATACAGCAATTTTTATATTTTACCATTTTAATTTCTCCGTCATTTCATAAACAAAAGATAAAATGCACTTTCTACTCCTAAATTCAGCTTAAATAAATTGATAACAACTTTCAACAATGGCATTCTACATCACTCCTCTGCTATTTCACTCCTTCATTTGATATGCTGAGATACCGGCTCACCCTTTTCTTCACAAAGTATACAGCCTGGTTTTGGACTGCAAGAAGGTCACTCAGATGTTTCATTTAGCCCTTCTGATTAATGCCACAAAGTGCAAAGCACCACCAATCTAACAGTGGGGCACTAAGAAATGTCTGCTCAAACAGATGGAAGATATGGCAGAATTACGACATAAGTCGGGATTGTTTAGTATGCATGTGCATCTTACAGATGGGATAAAATTTGATGAAGAAGATTGTTACAAAGATAAAATATATAGAATTAGAATGAAGCACTTCAAAGATTACCTGTAAGAGAGCAGCGATAGTACCAAATGAGTTCCATAGCAATGGGGCTAAGTCCTGGAATAATTCCCTCTTCTGAAAAACAATAACATAATTAATAAATTCTTTCTGCGTTGTGTGTGTTTGGGGGGGTTTGGNCAACAACAACAACATACCCAGTATTATCCCACACTGTGGGGTCAGGGGAGGGTAGTATGTACGCAGACCTTACCCCTTTCCAATAGACCCTCGGCTCAGGAAAGCATTAAATGTTACCTCACATTGTACACAAATATAGATAGATAGGGGAAAAGAGGTGAGGAATAAAATAACAGTAACTAGGGCAGACACCAAAACTTCACTGTTAGCATTGGAGGACAGAAGAAATTAGTAGTTATCCTCAACCATCATATCAGTTGCAGCTAAAGGGAGAAGGCTGGAGTTTAAAGTCAAGCTCTAATGTGGTTCACTTTGCTTGACAAAGTAGAATACTGTGGAGTTGGGAATGCTTGTACAAATTTTGCCAGTTCATTCGCCAGTAGCCAGGGCAGGGAGAATATTCTGTGCTTGTTAGAAAATCTGCAGTCACCAACTACAAGTCTGATGGAAGAACTAGTATGGTGATTCCACCAACAAAAGAGCAGAACAAAACAAAAAGATAGCAATACCACTAATTTAATTAATATGGGTTCAGAAACCAAGAATTTCCCAACTTGCTCATTCAAAAGCTGTTATTTTTCCATTTATTGCCTTTCATTTCTTACTGAATCAGAACTCCTATCAGCAAAAGATAGACAGTAGAAGTAAGATAACATGATTTATTCCATGTTACTAAACACTCACTTAGGAACTAGATGCTACTTTATGCACCTCAGCTCATATATGTACCATTTCAGTATCGAACCAAGGCGCTAAAGCGTGCACCTCACAGCCTATGGCCTCTCTTGACAAGGTGGCACGAAATAATAAAATATAGATATCAAAATGATATAATAATTGCTCAGTGAATCAGAAATTTAGTATCACAAAAATAGACATGGTTTTCTATCTTGATTTACTTGAGTTTTTTTTTTCATACAGTAGGCTTTTAAATACTTGTTCATATAAGTGTTTTAGGTGTTTAAAGTTATTTGTTGCAGTAAATATATATAAACTTTATTACTATGATTTTTCCCTATTTATGCCTTTCATTACTAAAACTCGCAATTTAATTGTCTTTACGCTTAAAACCCCAGCAGATATTGGCGTTTTTATTATGCTTTTATCCTTAGACAAGAATGCAACTATTGTAGAGTTATTACATGCTATAACCTCTATATTGCTTATCTGTCACTTAAAATGAATATAACAAAGTAATTGCTACAAATAATTGAAAAAAATGTACTATTCAACTATCAGTTCTGTTTTTGATTTGGATACTAACTAGATTCAGGTTTCAAACAATTTCTGTTTCTATATTCTTTTATTTTATTTTCCTGACAATACCAGGTAAAAATAATTTCAAACTATAGTTAGTTGTTGTTCTTCAATTTGGTATTCTCTAAAACCTATTATACTTGAAAATAAAACTCAAACCTCTAAGAAAAGCAAAAGTAGATAATAATTAAATTGTACCATCTTAATCGAGAAGCTTTTGCCTAGACGTGACCTTATATCTTTTTATTTTCCTTTTGGGAATTGGATGCTATGTAATGCTTATGAATGCTTCAAAAGCTTGTGAGGAAGGTAACTATCTTTCCAAAAGTTGGATGGCAGCTCTATTACTTCAAATAACCAGTTTTTGGAAATAGACAAAAGACAAATTACCTAAAACAACTCAATAAATAATACTCATGCATATTTGGTACTGCTTAGCACACATAAAAACTTCTACGTCCCGAATCCTTTGACGGCTTGCTTCCATTCGGGCTTCAATAGCAGCTGGGTTCATGGAGGAAAGATGCCTCAAGAAACCATTTAATATTATTCACGTATTTCAACGCAAAATTTTCTACATTTTGTATTTCAATGTTAATTTCAACAAGTCGCTGAGAATGTCGAGAATTTGAGAAGGGAGGGCCATGGATTCTCGTCTCAATATAGACTGGTAGAAAACTATTTTGGAAAAGCACGGAGGCTTATTTAGGGATAGTACTCCTTCACAATTAATATATGTTCCTATTACAAAAGCAACACAAATCTCCAAAGATCATAACTCATCTAGGAAAGGTAGTTAAAGACTCACGTGATCCAGAGTTTAGAACAACCAGAATTATAACTAGTTTTAGACTCCTATACAAAAAGTACACAAAGATTGTAGTCAACCGTAAACAGCAATATATTAAGCGGGATATTAAGCTAGTTAGCCGCTTATCTCAAATTAATTTTTCAACCAACCAATTGGAGAATCCAAGTACATCTGGGAACCTAATTTCGAGAGCATTGCTACAGTCAAAGGAGCTATGAGTGGTAGCCACAGGCTTGAAAAGTAGCACACCTTCTTAACCAATTCCGAAAGGGTTCTGTCACTGTAGAAAATATTAGAGCTCTTGAAACAAGATATAAAAGCTGACACACCAGAAGCTGCCTTAAATTGCTTTCATTAACATCAGTTCCCTTCCCAAATTGCCGGAATCCTAAAAGAACAATTCCTCATGTTTCCAAAATTGAACTCACCAAGTATTGTGGAATCTTGTAGTTTAGTTGGTTAACTGCTTGAACTTTTACCTTGTTTGGTGAGGGTTCGATTCCCCACCTAGTAATCTCCATAAAAATTTATTAAGGAAAAAATTCACTGAGCAACAACCATCAAAAACCTACTATCTCAATTCATTCAATTCTTTACTATTTTTAAATGACGATAGTGTTTGGACCGACTTGATTAATATACCAAGTAACCCAGCTACAGCAAAACAAGCACACAGGTGGAAATCCTAAGCTCGTACTTATATATGGCACTTTACAGTAATCAAATTGGAAAAAAAATACAAAAACATAAAATGAAAGGTAAACGTTATAGGTCAAATTTTGAAATGAGAATTGGACCTTAGAAAGTTCAAGAAGGGCATTTTCTCGAAGATCGGGGTTGCTGAGTTCAAGCACGAGTTGCTCTGCTGATTGCATTTTGTTACGGTCCTGAGTTGCAGCGGCGGATGCCGAGGCTGTGCTGCCCGGTCCTCCTCCGAAGGCGGTGAGCATTGAGAGTGACTGAGGCAGGTTTGCCATGTCTGAAGGCTCAATTCAAGCTTTTCTCTTCGTTTTCTCTTGCTTTCCTGACTGATATCTCTCGCACTTTCTGTTTGGTTCAGCAATATGTATTTAGTATTGCATAATGTACAAAATATTCATATTGGATTTCATTTTTTTTGTATTACCAAATGACGTGCATATTAAAAAAAAGTTTATTTTGACAATATGAAATATTGGTTACTACGTGAAGGGCTTACTTTGTATTTAGTAATTTTAATCCATGTATTATTAATTTTTATTTCACATTTTATCATGCATAAAATAATAATACATAAATATGCATATAACTTACTCCATGTAGTATAGAAAATTTGGGATAAAATATTGTATAAAGAATGTTAAGTTTTATGTGAATATAAAAATTAAAACCATCTTACTAATAATATTAAACTTTATATTGAGATTATTCTTTCCATCATTACAAACGAAATGTTGAAAATTTGAATTAAAATACTTAGATTATAATTTATTTCTTTTGTTTTCTCGCAATTAATTTGTTCGGTTTAATTTCGATATGATTCACCGTTTGTGTGACAAATCTAATTTACATAATTAGTTTTCACTCAATAAGTCTGAATCTGATTGGATTCTGTGCATTTATTATAGATTAGGTGCATTCTTTTATAACTAATTCATTCTATCTGCAATTTCCACTTAACGAAATTTGAATTTGAATCCTTCAAATTTGGTCCATTAGTGTATTTTTCAAAATCATTTATTTAATCTTAATAGCATTGAATAATCTAGATTTTGTACATCGAATCGTTACGGCGTTATTTATTTTAAGATTTTTATGAAGATGGCTTTTAACCATGTCCATTTCCTTAAAAACTATACAATATTAGCATTGCACAATCGTCAATGTCAATCATTATTTCCATTCACAATCACCTTTGATAACCGGAGTCTCGAACCTAAATGTAGTCTTTTTGGACTCAAATAACCAAAATCAGTAGGAAAAAAATATTGTGACCAAACTATATATAGCGCCCTTTAAAATGGCGCTATATATGAAGTTGATTAGACGTCTAGGTATAGCGCAGTTTATTAAGGCGCTATATGTATAGCGCCTTAATAAACGGCGATATACCCCTTCAAATACTGTCCCTTCCCTTTCCCTCGTTACAGAACAGCAAACATTCCCC